AGAGCCTCCCCCTGCTTGAGAAGTGGCTGTGGCAGTAGAAACCGCGACCGCTTGAGCAAGGCTAGTACATACTGTCAATATTTGGGCCAAAGTCTCCTGAAGACCCGGAATCACAATGGGCACAACTGGTGCCTGAGCTGGTGCTGCTGGAGCGTCCACCACTGGGACCTGACCCTGAACTGGGGCGGCTGGTGGGTTTGCAGGTGCTGTCCCAGCTGCTGTGGGGGCTGTACCTCTGCCCCTACCACGTCCTCGGTCACGTCCTCGGCCTCTAATGGCCTCCTCTAGTGGTACTGGCGGCCGTCCATCCAGACCGGTAGCGTGTGTCCTCACCATCTGTGAGAGAATAGAATAACAGAAGTTTAGTACTCGGATCAACAAATTCGCACGACAAGAATTACAAGAATATGGAATTTTCCTAAAGGTTCTACAGCCTCTCGAGGATAAATACAGACGTCTCCGTAACGATTCACGAGACTCTACTAAACCTGCTCATGACTCGTGAGACCTATGTAACCTAGGCTCTGATACCAACTTGTCACGACCCTAAACCCAAACCCGATCGTGATGGCGCCTCTCGTGAAGACAAGGTCAGCCGACACATTTCCAATTCACTTTAAGTAGTTGAAATAATAAAACTCAAGTCTTAATAGAAATGAAATCCCAAAATAACAGTATAAGTTGTGGAATTAAAAACCAACACAGCCCGACATCGGGGTGTCACCAGTCATGCGCATCTAAACAAAATAAAAGTCAGAAGGCTACTCCACCACTACATAACTGAATCAAAGAAACTAAGATAGAGGGAGAATACACTGGGCTGCGAATCGCCAAGCAGCTACCTTGTAAATCTCCGAAGACCTGTTGGAACTATCAACCCTCATGATCAGGACCTGTAGCGCCTGAATCTGCACACAGGGGTGCAGGGAGTAAAGTGAGTACTCCAACTCAGTAAGTAATAAAAATAAATGAAGACTGAGTAATATAAAACCACGTAAGGCACAACATTAAGCTAACAGAGGCATAGCAAAATCCGTAAATATAATTAAGCAGTGAAATCTCATAAATATCCTTTTAACAGTTAAACAATATACAGGGAAAACAACAAAAAAATAAACACATAATAACTGCCCCTCGGGCTCAGTAACAACAATAGAATCAGCCCCTCGGTTAATATCACAGAACAATACCAGCCCCTCGGGCTATATCTCATATCACAATGGGTACCCGCGCTCACTGGGGGTGTACAGACTCCGGGAGGGGCCCCATACGGCCAAAGTGGAATATCAAGCCATCTCGTGGCGTACAGTGTCAGGCCCTCGGCCTCATTATCATAATCACTATATCACTGCTGCGGCGTGCAGCCCGACCCAAAAGTATCCTCACGACACAGGCCCTCGACCTTACTCACTCAGAATCTCATAAGCCCCTCGGGCATCAGTAAAACATGAAGCTCAGCACAAAATATCTTTAAAATAGTATTTAATGTGTTTAAAACAGAATAACATAGCTGAGTTTTGGAAATAGTGAAAATATAGCATGACTGAGCATCAATATGAAATCAACAGTGAGGAAAAATGTCATTTAAAATCCCCTAAGGGTTCAAACAGTTGGCACGAAGCCCAAACATGGCATTTAGCCCAAAGTATAATAATATCAAACAATTAGCTATCAAATATACAGAAAAATAGTCATTCGGGATGGACTAAGTCACAATCCCCAACGGTGCACGACCCCACGCTCGTCATCTAGCGTGTGCGTCACTTCAACACAGCCGAACGTTGTGTAATCCGGGGTTTCATACCCTCAGAACAGCATTTAAAATCATTACTCACCTCGAACTAGCCCGAAAAGCTACTCTGCAACACGCTTGCCCCTCGAACCAACTTCCGAGTGCTCCAAATCTACCAAGTTCATATTTTTATCATCAAATTATGCTAAACGAATGAATTCCAATTGAAAATATTGATTTTAAGCACAAAATCCGAAATCAGTCCAAACTCGACCCCCGGGCCCGTGTCCCGGAACTGGACAAACTTTATACCAAAATGTTCTTCATTATCTCACGAGTCCGTACATATAATGAACTCGAAAATCGGAGTTCATTTGACCCCTCAAATCATCCCTAGAAGGTCTCAGAATCTCAAGCCCTAACTCCACCTTTTCTACTGATTTTCATGAATTAAACACTGATATTTTGTTCCTAAATCACAAATAATCGAGTTTTACGGTCCACAATCCTTACCTCAATGAAGAACAATGATTTCCTCTCTTCAAAATCGCCTCAAAGCTCTTTCCCGTTCAAAAAGGGTATAAAAGGGTTTAATGGTTGCGGAGGGACTAACTTATATTCTGTCCAGACATTTCCGCATCTGCGATCGTTTAACCGCATCTGCGGTACCGCTTCTGCGTTCGCGACCACCGCATCTGCGGTCCTCCCTTTAAAATCCGAATTTCCGCATCTGCGGTTCCATATCCGCATATGCGACATCGCAGATGCAGTCTTCCTAGACGCTTCTGTGGTTTCCTGACAAACACACTCTGGCCGCTTCTGCGGTCCATCTTTCTCATATGTGGCGCCGCACCTGCAGTCCCCTAGCCGCAGGTGCGGAAATACCAGAAGCAGCACAATCTGCAGCTGCAATAATTCTTCAAACTCCCCGTCAACCATCCGAAATCACCTCGAGGCCCCCGGGACCTCAATCAAAAGCACCAACATATTCCATAACCTTATTCAAACTTGTACCAATCTTCAAAACACCTAAAACAACATCAAAACCACCAAAACTCATCGAATTCAAGCCTAAGGTTCTAAATTCTTCCGCATTCCACTTTTGATCAAAATCCCAACCAAACCACGTCCTAATGACCTGAAATTTTGCACGCACATCCCAAATGACATAACGAAGCTACTGCAACTTCCGAAATTCAATTCCGACCCCTATATCAAAATCTCACCTATCAACCGGAAAACGCCAAAAGCTCAATTTCGCCAATTCAAGCCTAAATCTACTCCGGACCTCCAAAACACATTCCGATCACACTCCTAAGTCCCAAATCATCTCCCGAAGCTATCCGAACCATCGAAACTCACATCCGAGCCCTCTAACACCTAAGTCAACATTCGATTGGCTTTTCCAACTTAAGCCTTCTTAAAAGAGACTAAGTGTCTCAAACCTTCTCAAAACCTCCCGAGCCAACCAACCCGATCACATATAAAACCGATAATTAAAGCAAATAGAAGCAGAAATGGAGAAAACGGAGCGGTAACTCATGAGGCGACCGGCCGGGTCGTCACAATTGCTAATTAATAAGCCATAATGAAAATTAACATAATCTAAATTACTATATATGTCATGCTAAAATATGTATAGCTAATAAATACTATTAAAGTATTAGTTACATAATTAAGCACTAAAAAAAAGATAAACTAATTATGCATTTTTGTTATAAACCAATGTAAAACTAAAAAATAGATATCCAACACTATTGTCATTATTAGTATTGTTGAATTGAATTTCCTTTGTTAGCATTAGTATCAATTTAAACTTTGTTTGAGTTACTACATTTATGGCTATAAAATTTATTTATCATTTAAGAATGTTAAGTCCAAACTTGAAATAATACGTTAAAAGATAAAATTGTGAAAAAGTTTAAGAAATATTTGTAAATTACATTACAATAAATATTTATATGTATAAAATATTTTTTTAAAATTGCATAAATGTACTATTGGGTTGGTTTGGTTTCGGTCTGACTTTTGTTAGTTAAAATCAAACCAAACCAAACCAAACCAGTTATGGTCTATTTTTTTTTTTTAATACCAAACAACAATCGAAGTATTTTTTTTCGATTTGATTCGGATTACCGGTTTGGTTCGGTTTATCGATTTTTTTTGTCAACCCCTAATTGTACTACTATTGATATGTGGTTAGGTTGATTGTAGAATAACACTCCTCGCATAAAATCCAAAATAAACCAATACATCTGGTTAGCCACATAAAAAAAGGGTAATTTCCTACTAACTAATGCAACATTTGATTGGTGGTATAAAATAATATCTGGATTATGCGAATTAGAATGTAAAATAAAAACATATAAAGGCAAAGAGAAAGCCCTTTAAGGTTAGTATTTCTACATAGTAATATCAACATTATTAAACAACATAACAATACTTTATTATTTGTCAATCATGCGCATAATAGTTCTTTTATTATTGTTCACTTCAAATTTATACAACTCCTACGTTATAATTTCCACATAACTAGTATATGAATTAAACGTCTATAAGTGTATTAAACTTTTTCTTTATTCCTTCTTTTTTTTCTTTTTTTGTGGGCAAGTGTTGTTATCCAGTCTCTTTATTCCACTTGTCCTTCAACATGTCTCGATGCCATAGACTTCAATTATTTTGATGGGAATGTCCTCCATATGTCTCTTGTTTGTGATCATAGAGTTAGGACCAGGTCAAGATCTATGCATGTGTTATGTCATATTTGTTCTTCTATTCGAAATCCGTGATACGCCAATACAAATTAAATGTATAATTTTGTTTGCATTTTTGTTCGGAGAAAAGACACCAGTATAATTCCATAAATAGAATAATATGTATGCAAACTTTATACCTACATTGTCGGTAAAAAAGACCATTTAAATAATTTGCTTCCCAACTTTCTTTCCCACAATTCGGACTTATCATGGTCCCAAGCATAGATTTGGAAGAAGAAGAAAAAATTATTTGGATGGCGTAAGCAATTGATTTACCAATTACAGCTTTCTAATGTTGTTTAAGTTGATGTATGGTGGTATTTTTGAGAAAGCAATTTCCACGTTCCTCAAGGAGAAACCAAGATTTTTAAAATTTCAAGGGAGTGGAGGAGATAGAATTCAGGTAAGCATACATACATCTTAATTAATCAATGATTACTTAATACTAAACCGAAGCCGAAAAGCGTGATACTAAAACATACAGAATTTAGAAAACCAAATATACAAACATAGACATCAAAAGACAAATATGCATTATGTATTCAAATTCGGAGAAAAAAAGAAAAGAGATAGAAACCAATTCTTTTTTGATAAAACTATTAATGTAATCTAGACTCCAAAAGAACATCTGGTGCTAATGAAGCAGAAGAAAGAAAAATTGCAGCCAGCCTTAATCAGACATTGTTCTTGTTCTAAGGAAAGCAGTGAAAATTATTAACTTCTAATCAAACATTGCTGCTATGAATGAAACAGCCTCTTAATCCTCCTTTGATGGTGCTTCATCAGACATGAACCTTGTCTGATGACCAAACCATGAACCACCTATCAAACATGAACAAAGAGTTAATTACTGTCTACAACAGACTAAGCGACAAAGAATATAGAAGATGTCAGTCAATGTGTTATCAATACCTTTTCCAGCTTAATTTCTCAGCTACTTCTGTTTCTTGCTTTTCAGATTCCTTCTCAATTAACGTCCAATCATCATCTTCACCAACAGAGTCCTTCCTCGGGCTGCCATTGAGATCATCTGGTAAAGAATCCATTCTTCCTTCACACTCCTTCTCTTGCAATAAGTTACTCTTTTCAGGGTTACATACCATATTTTGTTCCTCAGCCATTAACTTTTCTTCTGCACCATCCTCTTTGGTAGAGGTTTCCACATTGTCCGCTTCGAACATCTTGTTTTCTTCTACTTTGCTACTCAAAATGCCCTTCTCAAATACGGTGTTTTCTTCAACTGGTCGTTTAGCATCCACACTACTATCAGTAAGCAACAAAGACGATGTATCACCCTTCTTCTCCAGCGATAACTTCTCTTCTACAGATGCATGTGACATATAAGATTTATCATCCATTGACTTAATCTTGGCTAGCTCAGAAAATGACACTACATCCTCAGTTTTTGTACCACCGCACTTTCCCAAAGACAACATCTGAAACTGCCTACGTAAAGTTGGCTGTAGAGCTGCAAAGCTTTCAGATTTCTCAAAATTCCCATGTTCAAGCAGATTAGTTAAAGCATTGTCTACATATGCAACTTCAAACATTTTGGAATTTGAAAGAGCCTCCATCTCCATAGACTCCCCTTTAATACATCCAACAACAATTTCTCCAGACGTCAGCGCAGTATTCACCTGGCACAAAGTCTTTTTTAACCAATCTACCCAATGTTCCCCTCCTTTCTTCAGTTGGACAGAAACAGTAAATATTCCATCCATTGTCATACGACTTCCAATTGTGTAAAGCCTGGAGAAACTTTCCTTGGTGCAAAGAAATTCTATTCCAATGTCTCTAAAAACAGCTGTGGTTTCCGGAAACTCATGATCAAGCAACCACACTAAGAAGCTAGAGGATATGGGACGAGACAAGGTTTCAAGTGGTCCTGCTGATTGAGTACCAATCACCAAAACATCTGCTTTTCCCCATTGCTCTTCTTTGTATTTCCTCCAGCTTGAGTAGAAGCCTGCCAATCTTTCGTTAAGAAGCTTGACATTCTTTACACCTTCTTCCTCCTCCATTGATTGAGGCTGATCGGGGATCCTGCGTAGCCTATTTTCTCCACCATCTTTCTTACCTTCTCCCGACTTAAACAGCTGATCACCATCTTTATTTCCTTCCTTCAACTTGTCGTCCTCTTTAGCATCCAGCCAATTTCCTCCAAACTTAAACAGCTGATCACCATTTTTGTTGCCTTCCTTTGACTTGTCCTCTTGACCATCCAAGCTTTTTGCTCCAAACTTGAACAGTTGATCATCACTTTTGTCTACTTCCTTTGCCTTATCGCCTTTACCATCAAATCTATTTGCTCCAAACATGAAGATTCGATCATAATTTTTGCCTCCTTCCTTTAACTTGTCGCCTTTACCATCCAATCTATTTGCTCCAAACGTGAAAAGTTGATCATCATTTTTGCCGCCTCCATTCACCCTGCTCATCGATTCCCCTTTCTCTTTGATTTCAATTCCCTCGCCAGAAAGGACCTCAGTTTTGTCAATACTAGAACCCAAATTGCTCCTCCTTTCCCTCGACCCTTTATGTTCAAATTTAAACCTATTTTCCTTCTTTTTCAGAGCAGATTGATTCCCATTTTCCAAGAAGTTCAAAAACACTTGTTCATCATTTTCACTCCACAAATTACTCTCACGCTTATCCCTCAAATCCCTTTTTGTTTTCAAACTTGTTTTTTCCTTGCCAACATTCACAATAATAGGACTAAAACTACGCATAGGAGGAGTAAATTCAACTGATTTAGACACCTCTTTCTCATTAGAAACTCCAAAATCAAAGTTTGATTTTTCAGCAGTATTAATCAACTTATCAATACCAGAATTCACAGTTACAGCTTTATACTTTTTAGGTTCTAAATCATTAATACAACTCCAAAAAAGCTTAGACTTTGGATACTCACCTGCTATATAACCAACAACAAACGGACAACAACGATCATCAAAATTCATCTTGTTGTTGTGAATTACTCTCTCGTTACGTATCGTAGCATCAATTAACGCAAACCCCTCATCGTTCTTAGCCTTCAATTGAACAGAAACAGGAATTTTCTGCATCGAAGTTGCATAACAACACAAAGAACGAATCTTGGAAAAATTCTTCTGAGTACAGAAAAAATATATCCCATAGAGAGTGAAAATCGTGCTTGTATCATCAAGTTCTTCACCTATAAGCCATAAGTAGAGTTGATTTGACTGAGAATTTGATGAGTTTTTCTCTTGGTTTGAATGGATAACAACAACATCAGAATTTTGCCATAAATCTTGTTTGTGAAAACTCAAACTGTTGTAAAAGGCACTAAGCCTTTTCTGGAACAGTTCTTTCATCATTTTTTTGGATTTTTGAGAACTGGGAATTGATGGTTTAAACAAGAAAAGAGTCATCAGTGACTTTTGTTTGTAGTCTTGATCATATAAAGAAGAAGACAAATAGGTTTAGAGGTCTTTGTAGAATTCGTCAAAGTCATGGAAATTGTGTTATACTAGGAATATGATTGGAAATTTACATAATATGAGAGAGTCCATGTATAGCTTGTAACTTTGGAGTTACGGAAAATAAGGGGAAATAAAGGAAAGATACTCCATATTAAATTTCAAGATTTTCAACAAACTTTTTGTTAATAGAGGAAATAAAACAAACTTTTGTTAAGAGGTTGAGAGTATTTAGGAACTAATTATGGTGAATTAAATATTCTAACGGGATTATTTCAAAGGAAAGATCTTTAAATGCTATAGATATGTTTGTTTTATGATTTTCTTGATAAAATTTATTAGGTATGATCTCGACTTCATTTCAAGTTTATTCGCATCATTTAGCTTTCTTGCTTCTGATTTTTTTTTTAACTATAATTCTTTTGGCAAGAAAAGACAAGGAAGTTCTTACTAAAAATGAAAAGAAAACGATTAAGGCCTTATAATATGGGCTTATCTAGAAAGTATTGAAATGGTTAATTGTGTTATAGTACACTTTAAATTATTAAAATTTCTCATTTGTAACGATCCGACCGGCCGTTTTGAGCTCTAACGCGTCGTTCAGCGGTTTGAGACCCTGAGTAGCTTCACTTCAGGTATTATGACTTGTACGCATGGTCGGAATTGAATTCCGGGAAGTTCGGAGTTGATTTGGAGAGAGAATTCTCATTTCGGAAGCTTTAAGTTGAAAGAATTGACTAAGATTGGATTTTTGAGTAAACGACCTCGAAATCAGGATTCGAAGGTTCCAGCAAGTTCGTATGATGATTTCGGACTTGGGCGTATCTCCGGATCGGCTTTTGGAGGACCCGGGAACGTTTCGGCACCTATTGTGGAAGTTAGCATTTTTGGAAGAATTTCATAAGTTTGGGTTGAAGTGCATTTAAGTGTTATAGATGTCCGTTTGAGATTCCGAGTCTGGGAATAGCTCCGTATGGTGATTCTGGTATTGGGAGCTCGATCAGAAGTGAATTCGGAGGTCCGTAGGTCATTTTGGAGTCATTTGGCTAAAGATAGAAATTTGAAGGTTTTTGAGGAGTTTGATCGGAAGTGGACTTTTTGATAGGGTCGGAATCCGATTCCCGAAGTTGGAGTAGGTATGTAATGTCAAATATGACTTGTGCGCAAAATTTGAGGCCAATCGGACGTGATTTGATAGGTTTAAGCAACGAAAGTAGAAGTTTGAAATTCTAAAGTTCATTAAGTTTGAATCGAGGTGTGATTTAGGATTTTGATGTTGTTTGACGTAATTTGACGCCTCGAGCAGGTCCGTGTTATGTTATGGGACTGAGTTGTGTGATTGGACGGGGTCCCGGGGGCTTCGGGTGAGTTTCGGACGTGCGGGAGGAGTTGAAAACACACCAGATTTTCTGGTGTTCTTGGTAGTAGTTGCAGGTCTCGCAAATGCGAGAAATTGTTCGCATTTGAGAACCTCGCATTTGCGACCTCAGCAGAGTCCACATTTGCGACTCATTTGTTACATTTGCGACCTTGGCAGGGGAGGCCCATGTTCGCATTTACGACGGTTTTGTCGCATTTGCGAACTAGGTGTAGCAAATGCGACGTCTGAGGTCTGTGCACAGCTATTAATTTCGAGACTTAGACCATTTAGCTCATTTCCTTCCATCTCTTGGGCGATTTTGGAGCTTTTGGAAGAGGGTCTTCACCTAGCACCTTGAGGTAAGTAATTTCTACACAACGTGAGTGAGTTTAAATACACAGATTATGGGTAGATTAACATGTGAAATTAGAGAAAATCAAGGGTTTAGATGAAAAATGTAGGTTTTGGATAAAAATGAGATTTGACCAAGAAAATGATTATGGAATTGAGTAGAAATCATATATTCTTGATCCTTGGGTTATGGGTAACAACTTTCTTCAAAAAAATTCGGAATCCGGGCACATGGGCCCGGGGGTTAATTTTAAGAACTTTGTAAATGAATTCCTAAAAACAGTTAAACTTCGTTTTCTTAAACGTTAAACGAGAAATGCCTTTTCCTTGGATAAATGTTGCCTGATGAATTCTTAATCGACTGTCTGAATGTGTATATCTACGAGTACCTGTGTCGCACGTATGATTCGTGTAACGATCCGGCCGGTCATTTTAAGAATTAACGCCCCGATCCCCTATTAACTGTTTTCCCCGTATTTATTTTTGCTATTCTGAGTTGCCGGGAGGTTTTGTTTTGGGTTTCGGAGTGTTTTGGGACACTTAGTCCCTAAAGGAGAGAGTAAGCTTTAGAATTTGGACCGTAATCGGAGCAGTGTGAAGACGGCCTCGGAATGGAATTCCGATGGTTCCGTTAGCTCCGCTGGGTGATTTCGGGCTTAGGGGCGTGTCCAGATTGTATTTTGGAGGTCCGTAGCTTAATTAGGCATGAAATGCCGAAAGTCGAATTTTTGAAGTTTTCGGTTGATAGGTGAGATTTTGATATAGGGGTCGGAATGAAATTCCAGAAGTTGCAATAGGTTCGTTGGGTCATATGTGATGTGTGTGCAAAATTTCAGGTCATTCGGACGAGGTTTGATAGACTTTTTGATCGAAAGTGGAATTTGGAAGTTTTTGGAATTCTTAGGCTTGAATTCGATGATGAATTGGTGTTTTGATGTTGTTTGAGGTGTTTTGAAGATTGGTATAAGTTTGGATAGTGGTATATGACTTGTTCGTGCTGTTGGTTGAGGTCCCGGGGGCCTCGGGGTGATTTCGGATGGTTGACGGAAGATTTTGAGTTGGGTTTGGCAGCTGAAGTTTTTCCATTTGCTGTCATAACCGCACCTGTGGTTAGGGGACCGCAGGTGCAGACTCGCAGAAGCGGAGATCGAGCCGTAGATGCGGCCAAGAGAGAGGTCAGCTGGAACTGCAGAAGCGGCTTCGCAGGTGCGGGCGTTTTGTCGCAGATGCAGAAATGGGCTTTTAAGTGAAAACCGCAGATGCGGTACCGCAGGTGTGGAAAGCCTGGTCAGAAAGTATAAAAGACTTCCTTCACGATTTTGGTCATTTTTCTCAATATTTCAATTCGGGGTGGAGCTTTTGAGAGGAATTTCAAGGGAGATTTTCAGAGGGATTCATTGAGATTTGGGCCATTTGGAGTCGATACTCGTGGTAAGAACGTGGTATAGACTTGATTGAGCTGGTTCGAGGTAACTGGCTTGTCTAACCTTGTGTGGGGGACTTCCCCCCTAGGATTTGGTATTGTTGTTATATGAATGCCGTGTACGTGAGGTGACGAGTGTGTACATGTGCTAATTGCTGGAAACCCGTTTTTCATTAATTAAATTAATTGTGTTTCTTCTTCTTGATCATTACTTGTATTTTAAGCCTACTGCGTAGCTTAGGGAAGCATGCTTAAGTGTATTAATTGTCCTACCTGCTTAAACTGTTTATGTGAACTCTGTGCAGTATGTTAGAATAGAAATCTCTGTTTCTTAGTACGGACTTGAATGAAATTGTGGACTCTTTCCTTGATTATGTTGTGTTTTTATTTTTGGGACTACGGATGAGTATTCCGGGAGATCCCCTGCACATATATTGATTTTGGCTGTAGTGCTGGATACCAAGAGATCCTCAGCACATATATTGAGGATACCAAGAGATCCTCGGGATACCAAGAGATCCCTAGTACATATATTGAGGATACCAAGAGATCCTCAGCACATATATTGAGGATACCAAGAGATCCTCGGGATACCGAGAGATCCCTAGTACATATATTGAGGATATCAAGAGATCCTCGGGATACCAAGAGATCCCTAGCACACATATTAAGGATACTGAGAGATCCCCGAGTATTTACGTTTGGGACTACGGGACAGGATCCCGGGAGATCCCCTGGCGATGTTTCTGTGTACTGAGTGTATATTTTTCTCTGATTTCTTCTCATTTTCTGACATTGCTTGATTATACTGTTTCACCTTACACTGTCTTACTTTGCTTTTTATTTTATAACCGGTAGGGCCCTGACCTTCCTCGTCACTACCCGACCGAGGTTATGCTTGGCACTTACTGGGTACCGCTGTGGTGTATTCATGCCCTTTCCTGCACATGTTTTCCCATGTGCAGATCCAGGTACATCGACTCAGCCATATCGTTAGCGAGGCGAGGCGATCTCTAGAGACTTTGAGGTATATCTGCCGCGTTCGCAGACCGAGGAGTCCCTATCTACTCTCTTTCAGTTATAGCCCTTTTGTACTTTTCTTTTGTTTAGACACTCTGGAGTTAGAACACTGTAGTTATCCCACAGCTTGTGATTTCATGAGATTCCGGGTTTTGGGAAATGTAGTTCAGTTGGAGAGTTTGTATGGTATATGCCGAGCGGCATCTTAAATGTTTCATTATGTTATTCCGCAGTTTTCGGCTAGTTTTACTCTGTTATTTCTTTTTCCGCATTTTTGTTAGGCTTACCTAGTCATAGAGACTAGGTGCTATCACGATAGTTCACGGAGGACGAACTGGGGTCGTGACAAGTTGGTATCAGAGCTCTAGGTTCATATGAGTCATGAATCACAAGCCAATTTATTAGAGTCTCGCGGATCGGTACGGAGACATCTGTACTTATCTACTATGTACACCACTCTAGATCAAGGAGGGTTGCTTCCCCTTGCTGCAGCCATATCCCAGGCCGGGGGAGGAGCACAGACTCCTGCCGCCTGCACTCCTAAGCAGCGCGTGCATGCTGAGCAGATCCCAGAGATTGAACCGGGACAGCCTATAGCCCCAGCTCAGCCCGAGGTGAGGGCAGTAGCTTCAGAGGAGGAGCAGAAGAGGCTTCAGAGGTTCAAGAAGTATCAGCCTCCTACATTCAGTAGACTAGCATCGGATGATTCTCTGGGATTTCTAGAGGAGTGCTACTGTATCGTCCGTACCATGGGTATATCAGGATCGAGCGGGGTTTCCTTCACTACCTTTCAGCTTCGAGGAGCCGCATATCAGTGGTGGCGTGCTTATGAGTTAGATAGTCCGGATGAGGCAGCTTCCCTGACTTGGAATCAGTTTTCAGATATGTTCAGGAGAGAGTATGTTCCCCAGCGCCTCAGGGACGCTTGGCACGTAGAGTTTGAGCACTTGCGCTA